GGTTGCACCCTGAAGAAATTGGGGTTTAGGTGCTGCTGCAACAGAGATCCCAGTGAGTTTATACTGGACTGTGGGATTACATTTCTTTCAGCACATCCCAGCTTCAGCTGACAGTTTCTAAGCAGCTTCAGGTTCTGGCTCACTCCTTGTGCTTCAGCAATGCTTAATGCCTTTTGTTACCACTTCTTTTGAAGTGACAGTCTGGTGTCTCTGCTCCCTTAAGCACATTGCCAGGGCAGCTGCTCGAGAGAACATTTTGCTCTTAATTTATAATCAACTTTCCCAAGTTGGCTTTGAGGGTGAGTTTGCATAACTGAGAAAAAACAACCCAGCCCAGCCCCCCAGGATGTGCAGCTCGTGCCTCTTGTAGTGGTGGGGCTCCCTCAGCTGGGTTTAAAAGGACAGGAGAAATTGTGCTTTTGGGATTTGTCCTCAGTGTTTGTGCAGGTACTTTGGGCTCTTTGAAGTTCAAAAGCTTGCTTGAAATTTGAGGGTACTGCTTGTCCAGCTTTTTGCTGTGGTTTTTAGTGCCTCTTCCAAAGTAGAGGAAATGTTTAAAAACCCAGTTGGTTTTGGGTTGGTGCTGATGGTTCACTCGGTGATACTGAGCAGGGCTGAGAAATGCACAGGGGGAGCCGTTCAGGGAGAGAGGGGCATTCCAGGCTTCATCCAGTGGTATTTTCCAAATGTAATTCCAATGTCCCTTCTCCCAGTTTTTATTGGCAGAGCTGAACACGTTTTACCTGAAGTTTGTGCTGTGGATGCCCCCTGAACACTACTTGGTGCTGCTACGCCTCGTGTTTTTTGTCAACGTGGGAGGAGTGGCCATGAGGGAGATCTATGACTTCATGGACGACCCGTAAGCCCCACCTCTCTGCTCTTCCCATGTCGAGCTCCACGTGCTTTGTTTTGAACTTGCTCCAGCTTGCTGGCATCCATCTCGGGCACCAGTTCAGCTTGTCAGGGACAAAATAGGCCTAATCCCAAAGCATCTGCTTTGTGTTCCTTTGTTTTGGAGGTACCACTCTCACTCCCCCTGGTCAGAGAGCAGCTGTTGTTAAGGGCATTGTGTGTGCACTGTGTTAACCTCAGTGTCTGGTAAATGATCTCTCTGTGGAGAAGGGAATGTGGAAATGAGCTGGAGTGCCCCTGGCTCGTGGGCAGAGGAGCGCTGCGCTCTGATTCCAGATGATTCCAGACCGAGAGCCAGGAACTGCAGTCCTTGGATGTGCCCTTTGGGGACATCGGGGCCCAGATTAAGAAAATGTGATTCTTAAAGGCACTTCTTTCCTTGAACTGTCTTCCCCCTGCCCTCTGGAGCTCTCCTGGCATCCTCTTGTAGGTCAGAGCCCCTCAGTAGCAGGATGTGCTGCAGGTCAGGCACCACACGCAGCAGTGCATGTACTTGAGACTGTTCCCACCTCAGCATCATATTTGTCCTCACTGCTTTTGTTTCTGCAGACCATGTGAGAGCTGAGAAAGCTTTGTTCTCAAAATCACCTTTTCTTTTAATGTCACAACCTGCCTGAGCCCACATCCTCAGCCTAAGGCACCGCCTGGCTTCCAGGGGCGTTCATTGTCTGTCGCTGACCAACGCAAAAAAGTGTCTGTGTTCAGAATTTAGGGTTCCAACATGGTCTGAAGATCAGTTTCCCTTGCAAGGCTTTGACTCCTAGAACTGGGAAGAAGGGCCAGCCCACATTGCTTAGTCGGAATTCAGGACATTCCACAGGGGCAGGATGCCCTGCCCTTGGTGTTGGACCTACTGGTTTGGGACGAGCCTCCAACTCACAGGTAAGAAGAGTCTCTGCCTCGCTGCTGAGCTCCTCTCCTTAGCACCATTCATCTTCTTGTGTTTGGGTTGGAAAAGCTCCTTTGCCCTCTGTTCAGCCACGTGGCATAACACTGGAGTTTGGGAGAGCCATCCCTTGCCAGTGCCTCATCCCTGGTTCCGATTGTTGCTGTTCTTTCCATGAGCTGGAGCAGCTCACCCCGAGCTGCACCGTCCCCTGTCACTGCCACCACCTTCTGCCGTGTTCCCTGCTGGGGGAGGTGACTGCCCCCACATCCTGGGGTTCCTGGCTCTTCTTGATGCCCCCCAGAGCTGACATCAGAGCTGAGCACCTGCTCTTACCTGGTACCTTCTCTGTGGAGGGTTTTGTAATTCCTTCCTGCATTCCAGGCCATCCAGGCAGAGAGGATCTGCCCCCATTTACCGTCTTCCTTTGCCCATCATTTCAAGCCAAGGATCCTTCAGGATTCTTCCCATGGTGTTGTAGGGGAAGAGCAGGGGAAGCATGATTTGCTCCATGTTTGTATTTACAAAAGTCAGTGCATTATTCCTGCTGGGAAGAGCAGACTGTACCAGAGGCTCCCAGCTTACATCACATGGGAAACCTTGCTGACCTTTTCCTTTCGGTAGCTCTTAATGCTCAAAGATTGGAATATTCCACTGACCTTCCTTGACAAAAACGTGGCTCACTGCCTTGTCTGGTGGTGATGGGATTGTTTGGGGTGGACTGATGAGGTCTCTTCAGCCAGCCCTGCAATGTTTGCTAGAAATGCTAGAAAGCAGTGAAATTCCAGCGTGAAGAATTATTTTTCCCGTTCAGCATTCTGAGTATCTGCAGGCAGTTCTGGGGCTTTGCTTGCAGGACTTTGGGCTGAAGTGGTGACAAAGTGGTGCCAGGAATTGTGAAGTCCCAGAAGAGGGGTAAAGCTTTCTCCAGCCCTCACACACCACACGCTGCCTCCGAGTTCCCGAGGACTGGATGTGTGAAATGTTCCTGACCAGGAGTGTCTTGATGCGTTTGTAGCATTTTACCTAGTCACACATTTCTGATTGGAATCTTCCTGTCACCTCCAAGGAGTCTGCATCAAGGCCATGAATTTCTATCTCCTTCATCATGAGAAAAATCTTTTGCATCTTTCCTGAGTATTCAGGCAGGAAACTAAGCTCTCTTCCTCGGCAGCCTTAGGGGCTGCCCAGCTCTTGTGTTGGGATTATCTTTGATTCCGTTGTCAGGGAAAGGATGGCAGAGGAGGAAGCAGCCCAGCAGAGCAGAAAGCTGCCCTCGTCATCCCAGCAGCTGGAATCCCTTGTGAGAGATCTGCTGCTTCCTTTCATCTCTCTGCCTGTGGGTTAGGGCTGGTCTCTGCCCATTTAATCTGTCACCACCTGGAGCAGTTTCTGCAGCCCTTTTATCTGAGCTGATCCAGGCAGGATACCTTTTAAGAAGGGATGCACTCATCCCCTCTGCAACAGCAATCACCTACACTTGATTCATTCCATATTTTTTCCCAGTGTATTTGGATGGTTTGGTGTAGCTTGCACGATAGGTTGGTGTCAAACATGGCTCTGGGCCTTGTGTCTGAGAAGCTCCTGTTTGGAACCATACCCTGAACATCAGCTGGTCTCAGGCTGGTCAGAGAATCGTTTCATGTGGATTTACCTGGGAATGGGGACACTTCCCTGCATTGTGTGGTGATGAAGTTTAACTTTTCTTGCTTTCAGAGCCTCAGAGAGGAAACTGAAGTAACGCCAACATGAAAGTGTCATCCTGCAGAGCCTTAGTGCGTGTGTGATCTGAACTAGACTTGTAGGACTGTGCAGAGCTGAATGAAACCACTGCCCCAGCTGTCTTTTTGTGCTGATTTCTCTACATCCCTAATTTTACAGCAATGAAATGTTTTTGTCTCTGTTTCTCCTGCAGGAAGTTCCACAAGAAGCTGGGCCAGCAGGCCTGGCTGGTTGCTGCTATTACTGCCACGGAGTTCCTGATCGTCGTCAAGTACGATCCCTACACACTCACCCTCTCCCTACCCTTCTACATCACCCAGTGCTGGATCCTGGGGATTATCCTGGTGCTCACCTGGACGGCCTGGCGCTTCTTCATTCGGTGGGTGGGGCTGTGTTTGGGGCTGGCCAGGGTTTTAGGAGGATTTGTTCAACCCCGTCCTCAAATGTGCTCCCTGGGACTGCCTGGGGAGAGAGCACAGCTCTCCTAGTTGGGTGCAGGTTCTGAAATAAACAGAGCTCTCTGGGCCTGATCCTGGCAGTTTCCTGTCTGGATCATGGAAAGCAGCTGCACAGGGCCTGAGGAATTTGCAGCCTTCCAGTATTGGAAGGAACCCACAAAGAGGCTGGAGAGGGACCGAGGGGACAGGCCAAGGGGGAATGGCTCTGCACTGACAGAGGGCAGGGTTAGATGTGCTGTGGGGAAAGAGGAGGGTGGAGAGGCCCTGGCACAGGGTGCCCAGAGAAGCTGTGGCTGCCCCATCCCTGGAAGTCCAGGTCCAGGTTGGATAGAGCAGCCTGGGATAGTGGAAGGTGTTCCTGCTCATGGCAGGGGGTGGAATGGGATGGATCCCTTTCAACCCAAACCATTCCACAGTTGCTTGAAGTGCAGTGCTGTGTGGAGGGGGCAGCAGTGGCTGCTCCTGCAGGTTTGGCTGTTCTGCTCCAGCAGAGGTGGGAAGCGCCAGGCCACCGGTCAGAAACACAAACTGCCAGTGAATCAGTGCCATCAGCACTTGCAGAAATGCTCAGCCAGAGGCTCCAGTGAGTTATTATCCTCAGGAAGCTCTGAGCAGAGAGGTTCCCTTGCTGTTAGTCCTGCAGGCTGAAATTGTGTGCTGTGTGTGTTGCAGGGACATCACCCTGCGGTACAAGGAGATCCGGCGGCAGAAGCAGGAGCACAGGCACGAGAAGGACAAATGCCTGAGCAACGGGGATGGACACTCAGCCCTGCTGGATGAGCCCAATGGGAGCAAACTCCGGGAGAGGAAGCTCTGAGCGCCGACACAGGACTGACAGGAACTCGTGGTGCCCGAGCGGGCCTGGTGCACAGTCCCAACCTTATCCTACCTAACTCCTAATTGTCATTGTTAGCGTTCCAGCGCGTGGGAATCCTCTCGGGGGAGGATGGCACTGACACAGCCCCCCTCTCTCCTCGTGGCACCCGGGCAGGGCTGGAGGAGGTCTGTGGAGGGAGGTCAGCGCTGACACTGCACACGGGGCGGGGCCTTCACCGGCTGCTGTGTGTCTTCCTCGGAACCAGGTGTGGAGACGGGGCTCAGAGCACGGCACACAGGGATCTGCTGCTCCATTCCCAGGGGACTGAGAGCTCCATGGGGCATTTGGGCATTAGGAACACTTGTTTTGGAGTGTACAGAGACCAGGCATAGGAAGTGAATTCTGTTCTTCCTGCTGGAACTACCTGGAGCTGTGGAGGAGGGTTGGGTGAGGTGTTGAGCGAGGTGACCGTGGGTACACGGGGACGTGTGGCCGAGCTGCGTTCCTTGCACGGGATGTACCACACCACACTGCTGCTCCAGCCCCTCCGCAGGGCATCCCACTGACTTCCGATATCCTGGAGCGGCCTGCGGCACGTGGGTGGTGTGTCCCAGCTCTAGGCAGACAGACAACTTCTCCTTAGCTCTTATTTTTAATTTCTCTTTTAGTCTTGGTCATCTTGTAAATGTAAGGGAAGGTGAAGTGAGAAAGGTTAACCTGCCTTTGCTCTGCGGAGTAAAATGTGTCACAAGCAGAAACTGGGAGCGTCCCATCAGTCTGGAGTTCTTTATCCTCAGCTGGGTTTGCGTCCTCACCACGGGGGCTTTGCTCTCTGGGCTCTCTCAAAGTGCCCTTTGTCCCTGCCCTGTTCCTTCCAGGACAGCTCCTGGAGGGGTTTCTGATGCCTGCAGTATCACACCCCCATCCCTGTCCCCCCTGCCAGCAGCAGGCCCAGGTCAAGCACGTCCCTGGCACAGCAGAGCCAGGGAGCATCCTGAGCCAGGCAGTGTTTCTGCTGGTGACTCAGCATCCTGGAAAGGGAATTGGAAGCCTGGGCTGCTTTGTTTCCCCAGGTCATTATTCCAAAATGTGAGAGCTCCACTAATCCACATGGATTCTGTACCCTCTGCTCCGAGCCCTTGCGTCGCTGTCCTGGGCGCTGACGTCACCCTGTCACTGCTTAATCCAATCTGCCTGTTTTTCAGGCAAGTGTTTATCCAGAAGAAAATGACACAAACAGTACAATTCCAAGAGTACAACCTGAACTTTTGAAGTGGCCGGAGGTCGCAGAGCTGCTGCCCAGCGCACATTGGGTTTTTAATCCTGTTCGGTCTTGTATGGGAATGACAGCCAACATTCCCAGTTTTAGTGTCTCACATACTTTCCACCTATTAAACGTGGGCAATGGGCAGTCTGGAAGTCGGGGATCCCCAGTTGGGGAGGTGGCCAGGTGACCTGGGGATACTTGTCACTGCACCCCCCTCTCACCAAAGGGCTACTTACCTGTTGGCAACACCTGGTGAGGAATATCCAGAAAGATCTGGGAGCTTTGACCTCATATGTGAGCCACTGCCTCATCTGTCCGATCCAAGGGATCCCAGGGATAAGCCTGGATCCTGTCCATGTAGTTCTGTGTGCTGATTTGTCCTTTGGGACAATGAATGCCTGTGGGTCCTCTCTTGTCACCTCAAACACGGAGCCAGGGGGCTGAGGGGGCTCGGGCTATGTCCCCCCCAGCACACAGGATGGGTGGCTGGGTGCTGGGCCTTGAGGTAAGGAATGTGTCCAAGCTTTCAGGGAAAAGGTGGGCTCTGGTCACTGCAAACATGCCTGGATTCAGGAATCTTTTTGTGATCGTCTCAGAGCAGCCTCATAGGGAGGAGGTGGAAGGAAGCCAGGAGTCCTCATGGGAGTAAACATTAGGTGTGGCCTAAAATGGGACCCTCTCTGTGGAGAGGGCAGAGGTGGCTGGCTCCTGCTCCCACACAGGAGTGTCCAGCTCACCTGGAACACGTCTCCCACCTGTAGTCACTGATTTCATGGAGAGCTTGGCCAAAGGTAAGTGTTTGCTTTAAAAAGGAGGAGCTTTTAATAGGTGAGCTGGTGTCTGTGTGAGGCTGGGTGAATCCAGGTGCCCAGCTTGGGGATTTCTGAACCTCAGCCTGATCCAATCCTGTCAGGAACAGCTCTGGGGGTCACTTTTGCCCAGAGTCTGGAGTGGTGAGCCCTGAGGTGCCCTGCAGGAGGGTGCTGGGTCCCAGGCTGTCCTGTAGAGGGACATCCTGCCACATCCCTGGGGATGCAGAGGAGCTTTGGGAAGTGGGGAAGGACCGTGGCCTGCTCTTTTCCAGCTGTACCCAGAGGAAGAGCCAGGAAGCCTCATGGAAAGGAGCCTTGGCTGCAAGAGGAGGCAGCTCTCCCACCCAGGAAGCATTTTTGGTGCAGTCAAAACTTGCTGTGTTTTCTCCCTGAAAATGAACTTCCTACCAGGAAGATCATGAGGGCATCTCCCAGTGCTGCCCTCCCTGGATCTTTACAGAGCAGGGAGCCTGGCCCTGTGGCTGGGTATGAATGTTCTGGGAATTACAGGTCCTGGAATGTCACACTGGTCCTTGGCCTCTGACCCCACCTTTTCTGTTTGTGTGGGTGTTTTTTCCCCACAAAATCGCAATTACTCCATTTTCTCCAAGCAAAAATGTTTCTCCTGCTGTCTGAAATTGCTCCTTGTTGTCCTAGAAGTCACCTGACGTTAAGGTGAGGTGGCTGAAGCCATGGATATGAAGGCAGGGAAAGGGAAGATCCCACAGGAGGGTGTGAAGGCACAGTCTTTCCAATGGTCCTGGTGTGGTGGGCATGGAGCCAAACTGTCCGAGGGGCTTTTGGGGCCAGATGCCAAAAGGTTCCACTTTCTGCTGCAGAAGGAGAGGATCTGATGGTTTTTCTTAGGAATATCCACAGCCACGACCTTGCTGGACCGCCCCAGGTGTCCCCATGGCCAGGAGGGACACACACCTGGAAGCTGTTTGGGACAAGGGAGAACCCAAGGATTCGGCTTTGGGGTGGTGATCCAGAGAGCACGAGGGGCTCTGCACCTTTGAGGGACAAGGGGAGGGGACATGGGACCCCGTGGAGAGAAGCACTCGTCAGGGTCCGTGGGGAGGAGCAGCTGGAGATGCAGAGATGTGGATGGATGGGGGAGTCCCTGGGAAGTGGGATTTGGGAAAGCCTGGTATGGCCAAGCACACAGCAGAGGGTCTCTGGTGTGGGAGGAGGGACTTGGCATTGTCCTTCCTCACTCCTGGCTGGGATTTGATTTGGGGTGCGTTCGCAGGGGTTTGGGGTGAATTTAGTTGGGTTGGGTTTTTTTTGTTTGGTTGTTATTTTTTTTTAGTTTTTTTGATTTGTTTTGTTTTGTTTTTTTTATGGCAACTTCCTCCGGAAAGCTGGGAGCCTGTCAGGCAAACCAGAGTGAGAGACCCCCGGGGTGGGCAGGCTCTGCCGGGGGGTTCGGGCTGGGCTGAGCCAAGCCCGGGGAGGCGCGGAGACCGCCCAGCTCATGGCACGGATGAGCTGCGGCTCCGCCCCGGGCTGGGCTGGGCGAGGGAGCGGAGCCGCTCCCGGTCCCGCACCGCCGGGAAGCATCCCGGCTCCGGGGGGGACATCCCGGATCCCGGGGCTGGGCTCTGCAGCCGCAGGGACCCCCGGGCAGCGGTGTGGGGGCTGTGCCCGGTCCCCGCGGCCGGGAAGCATCCCGGGGTTGGGGAGTCCCGTGGATCCCAGGGCTGAGCTCGGGGACCCTCGGGCGGTGCGGGGGGCTCTGCCCCGTCCCCACCGCCGGCCGGGCGGGCCACGGGGGTCTCAGGGCCCCCCCCTCCCCCCTGGGAGCGGACACAGCTCGGCGGATGCCGGGGCCGCCCGGGGGTCCCCGCGCTGCCCGCGGATCCCTGAGGATTTGTACCTGTCCAGGTAAAGCGCGGGGGGCACCGGTTCGGGTGGGATGTGTCCCTTGTGGGGGCTGGGGAGGGCGATGGGTGAGAGCAGAGCCCAAATCCTTCTGTTTTGGCAAGTTTGGGATGCGTCTTTATTCGTGCCAGGAGCAAGCTCCATCCCGCTTCTGTGGCCTGCGGATGGAGGCCGGGCAGGGCAGGAGAGCGGTGGAAGGGGCTGGCAGAGCAGCGCTGCAGGACCGGCACCACCGCTGAGCCGAGCTTAGCCCGGGCTCAGCACACCGGCCACGGGTGTCTGGGGCAGGACAGCGAGGGAGGATGAGCAAGGAGATCGCTGGAACCTGGGTTGGGACGTTTGGGGACTGCAGTGTGCTCGGGGGGGGTCATAGCCAGGTTGGTCCGGGTGCTTTGGGACCAGCAATTGGGGTCACTGTGCCTGTGGCCTTGGCAGCAGCGAGGTGACAACCCCGTGAAGGCTGGGGGACCCCCTTTTCCAGGGGAGACAGGTGGCTTTGGTGCTGTTTTTCTCTACCTCGTTGAGCTGTTTTATTGTCCCTCCAAGCAGGAAGAGGGACCTGAGCTCTGCAGCAGCTCCCAAGGAAAATGAAGCTGGCCTGGCATTGGGGTGTTGAGATGGACGGAGAGGGTTCTACACCCCAAACCTGGGACTCTGCACCCCAAACCAGGGCTCTGCAGCCCGATCTTGAGGTCTGTGGGTGAAAAATCCATCAATCCCTGTGCTGCCAGCAGCGGGAGAGCGGTGCCTCTTCCGTTCCCAATGCCTCAGGCTTGATTTCCCAGGGATTTGAGCAGCAGGTCAGGGGGATGTCAGAGCAGCTCGGTGCAATGCTCCAGGGAAGAGCTTAGTTAACAAAAAAAAGACATAAATCCTTCCCTGAGCACCTCCACCCCCGTTTCCTTGCTCAGGAGAGATTGATGCTGTTTTCCTAATAGGAAAATACCTCTGGGTTTCATCCCAGTGCTGAGCACTGCAGTCTCTTTCGAGGTGATGCCTTGGAAATCTGCTTAACTTGATGCTTAGAGCTCATTAGAGAGGGAGGTTTTGGGGAGAGCTCTGAAAGGAAAGAAAAATTACAAAGTCCTTCTAATTTCCTGAAGAAATTGGGAAGAGAGATGGAAGGGGTTTAAAGGGGATGTTTGTCTTGCAGGGAAAGTCAGTCCTGAAAACTTTGCTGTTTTCGTATTAAAAATAATTGGGAAGCAGAGAGAGGAACAGAGCTCCTTGCTTGGGCACAGGGGCTTTCCAGGGCATAAAAAAAGGCAGTTTAGGGTAAATCTCCATCACGATGCTCTGTTAAGATGTCAGTTTTCAGCACTAAACAGCAAAGTGGGCCTTGAGCTGAGCTCAGCCCATAGCATGAGCTCAGCTAGGATAGGAGTGTTTTATCCATTGCACAGGGAGATTTGTGCCAGACAGAGGAGGGTGGGGAGGGACTGGGCATCTCCCAGCCCCATCCCAGCATCGCTGTCACTTCGGGTTACATTTAGGGCTCCCCTTCCTCCTGCTATCCCAAGGATAGGCTGTGTGCCCTGCAGAGGAAGCCAAGCCAGCACAGCTGATATTCCATGCCATGAAATTCCCACTTTTGCCTGTTGAAATCCAAGCCTGGATGGTTTTGGGGGGAGCTGATCACTGCTCCCCCCCACCCAGTGCCTGAGGCTGTGAGCACCCAAGGGGAGCTGGAAGGTGGGGCCCAAGTATTGCAGAACCATCTGTCTGAGGCCAATCCAGCTCCATGAGTGGGCTTCGGGAATTCTGGAGAAGGGCTGGGGGACTCTGAGGGGGGTGCGTGGGGGTTTAGGTGCAGTGCGGAGGTTGTGTCCCCTTGGGGTTCTGTGGGATCCCACCAGCTCTCTGTGGTCTGTGATTCCCTGGCACAGATGCCAGGGAACAAGGGGTGCTGCTCAGTTCCCATTGGATTTGCTTGTTGGGTGTTTTTGGGGATCTCAAACCCCTCTTTTCAGGAGTAGCGGCTTGGATAAATCCTCCTCAGCATCCATGGTGCCTTGTGCTAGGATCTGCTTGGGAGAGCAGCTTCTTTCTGACTTGACTGGGAAAAACCCTTTTGTGGGGGAAGGCCATGGAGCTTTCCTGCTGCAGGAGCTGATTCCTGGGGAGGAACATCCCCTAAACCCCACAAAATGGGAGAATAGGGCTGCCCCCCTCGGCTGGGGCCGGGGCAAAGCCTCAGGAGAGGCTGGGAAGCTGCAGGAGGCAAAGGAAGATTTCAGCTGGAAAAGCGGCAATGGGCTCCTGGAGGGGCAATGTACACACGCTGAGAGGTTGGGAATGTCGCCTGTTTAAAGGCTCCCGAGGTAAATCGAGCGGCTCTGCCCCTTCCCGAGGGTTCCTGTCCCTCCTTCAGCTCCTGCCGGTGGCTGAAAGGCTTCAGCTCGTTTGCTCAGCGCCTGGAAGCGGAGCCAAGGCTGGGAGTGATGGAGGGGGAGCAGTGATGGAGCATCCCTGCTGGAAAATCACAAGGCATTCATTCTTCAGTTCTTCCCCTTCATCCTAACGCTGTGTCTCACGCATTCCAGGCTGTCCCGCTCGCCCGGAGCGTTTGCCATGGACACTGGGCACGTAAGCAGATCCCGCTTCAGTGGTGAGTCCTCCCCAGGGAGCCCAGGAAGGGTTTGGGGCAGAGCGGCTGGTGCTCTCACACCGAGGTTTTTTTGGGGAAGGGTTGGCAGGTCCTCACTGCTTTCCGTGGGGAGAACCCTCTGCTCCATGGGCCTGCTGGGTTTTGTTTCCTAAAACAAGGGTAAAACCCTTAAATCCTCTAAGTTTTCCAACGTGAGTGCTCAGCCCTCGGAAACGAGCTGGAGTGAGGGGGAAGCAGATTCCAGTTCAGCTGGGATTTGCACTTGGAGTTCCTCAGAGCCAGTAAAAGATTATTCTGCTATTCTTTATTTCCAGTTTTACCCCTCCACCGTAGCAGGAGCCTGGGAGCTCTGTCACGGGAAACCTCCAACTGCTTCCCACAGCATCCTTAGCCGGGATGCAGGGATAAAGCAGAGCCCTTTAGGGTTTTGGATCAGGGTGGATGAAGCAGGACCCGGGTCCCATCCCAATGTTTAACCTCGCAGATCCCTGTGGGCTGCTCCTGGGATCCAAAGCAGGTGCTTTGGATGCGAGTACTCAGTTCCTTCTGCTGTTCCCGCTGGAGGAGGGCTGGGGGGAGCAGCAGGTTGTCCCTGCGCTCGGATGCGATGTGGGAGTTCAGCCTCGGCTTTGGGCTTTTTCCAGCTCCGAAGGAGGGAGCTCTGCGGCGTGATGATGCCGGAGGACTCCCCGGCAGCGCTCCGGGATGAGAAATCCTCTCTTTCCCCCTTTTCCTGTGCTGCACGGGGCGGCTGGTGCCGGTTCGGTGCGGGAGTGATGGAGGCTGGTGCAATGCAGCAGGAACCGCTCGCAGCCCAGCCCGGCGCTCCCTCCCCGCTCGCTCCGCCGGCACCCGCGGGGCTCTGCCTGTTTCCAGCAGCTTTTCCTTTGGTTTTTCCCTTGTCCCGCCTTTCCGTGGCATCCCCAGGCAGCAGCTGGGCCGAGGGCGATGCAGATGTGCGCTGGGCACATCTGTCGGTGGCACAGAGCCGCAGCTGGCAAAGGGACCCCCGGCACCTCGGGAGTGACACAGCCACTCGCTGGCAAGCGGGGCTGGGACACAGGAGAACTTCATCTCCCGGGAAAGCCAAGCCAGAGCTGCCAGTTTTTGGCCGGCACAGCCTCTGCCTGACCCGTTTGCAGCCACCCGGGTGGGAGCTGCGGTTTATCCCCTCCTCGGCCCATCCCATCCTCGGAGCTTGGAGCCGAGTTCCCGGCGTGGAAGCAGCCGAGGATGAAGGCTCATTCCCGGGATTGCGACCAGCTCATGGAGCCCCCTGTCCCCTGCAGTGGCCTCCAGCCCGCCGCGGTGGGAGATCGGGCTCTACGCCGCCGGCGCCTTGGCGCTGCTGGGAATCGCGGCCATCAACCTGTGGAAGCTCTGGCGCTCCGGGAGCTACCCGGCCCCTTCCCCCTTCCCCAACTATGACTACCGGTACCTGGAGCAGAAATACGGAGCGGCGTGCCCGGACATCAGGAACAAGGTAAAGGGGGGAAGCTGCCCTTGTCTACTTCCCTTTGCAGAGCGCGGGATGCGGGAGGGGTGGGAATATCTCCTGGATCCCTTCGCCGGGGGGAAGAGCCACGGGCACCAACCTGGTGCTGCCGGAGCTTTTGAGGGGACCGCTGGAGCTGGGAGCTGCGGGAAGCTCCGGGCTCGCTGCCGCGGCAGCTTGAGGCGAGGCAGGGGCCGGGATGCATCCAAGGAGGCGGCGGAGAAGCCCAGCTGTCCGGCTCCGCACGGAGGGATGGCATGGATGGCAGCGCCTGCTTTCCTCTCCCTGGCAGCGAGGGCTGGCCCCGGGCTCGCAGCGGGCTCCAGGTCGGAGCTCTTCGTCCCGCAAGAGCAGCCTGAGGGCAGAGGACACCTTGGAGAGCATCCAGGAGCTGGGCAGCCTGGAGCTGATGGGCAGAGACCTGGGCCTGGCCCACTACGGCCCCCTGCGGAAATCCATCTCGGCCGACTCCCTCAATTCCATCTCGTCCATCGGGAACAACTTCGGGCAGGATTTCACGGTGGGGCAGGTGGAGGTGTCCATGGAGTACGACGGGAGGGCGGCCGCCCTGCACGTGACGCTGCTGCAGGGCAAGGACCTGCTGGAGAAGGAGGATGCGCGCTTCGAGTCCTGCTTCATGCGCATCAGCCTCCTCCCGGCCGAGCAGATCGTCGGCATCTCCCGGGTGAGCCCCTCATTCCCACCCAGACATCCCCACAGACCCCTGGGCACACGTGGCGTTTTGCGTGGCAGCGTTCCTTGGCCGCATTCCCCAAGGAAGTGGTGTGGTTTGGGAGCAGGGAGCTCCAGGCATGCCAGGATCGGAAATGGCTGGCACAGGATTTGGGGGATACCAGCTCCCCAAGGCAGTGGTGGGGTTTGGGAGCACGGAGTTCAAGGCTGGATGTGGTTGGCACGGGATTTTGGGGTGGGTCTCATCTCCCCACAGTGGTGATGGGATTTGGGTGCAGAGAGCTCTGGGCTGGCACAGGATTTTGAGGATTTTGAGGGGTGTCCCAGGTGGGTTTGCATATCAGAAATGCGGCAGAGGCAGGAATGTCTCCCCCTTGGCTGGGATTTGGGCTGACTTTGTCATCTCCGAGCATGGCTGGTGGCAAGTTCTCCTGCTTGACTGTCCCTGCTGTGGGAAGGATGCAGTAGCATGGGGAGGAAGTGGCCTTGGATGGGATTTGGGTGGCAGTGGCAGTTTGGGCAGGTGCTACTGGTGTCTTGCCACGTCCCCACAGTCCCCTGAGTCCCCACAGTCCCTCTCCTTCCCACAGCAGTCCCAACGCTGTTCCCTCCCCACAAAGGATTGTGGAAAATCCATGTGGCAGCACTAGCAGCCACAACCAAGGTTGGATCTGGGGCTAAACCTCACTTTTTAGGTGCCTCAAAAGCTGCTTTTGGAAAGTTTTCTTCCAGCAGATCTTTTATTGCAGAGTCAGTTTGATTCAATCAGGATATTCCAGCAAGGAGTAGGAATTTGCATTCCATTAAAGCACCTCTCCACTGGGGTGGAGGTGCTGCTCCATCCACACAAACCAGCTGCTGCCTCCAAAATATTTCCACAGTGCCCTTTTAGACCATTTTTCCATCCAAATCTCTGACTCTTTATTTATGCTCTGGAGTTATTTATTATTTAGTGTCATTATTTATAATTCACCAGCACAATTTACCTCCTCGGCTGCCCCAAGGCCACAGTTATAAAGGCCCAGCTGCTTTTTTTTCCCAGTGCTTCTGGAGGGATTTTAAATAGCAGTTCCTGTTTGGTTGTACTTGATCCAGAGCTCCCAAAATACAGCGTGGGCTGCAGACAGACAGTCTGTAAAATCTGTAGGGCTTTAAAATCTGCTCTTCACACAGAGGAACTTCAATCCCCCAGGGACTCTGGAGGTTGGTGGTATCCAGTGGGAGAGCATGGACTAAGAAGGCAGGAATGGCAGGTGCTGCCTTTGTGTCCTTCCTCCCAGGGATGGAGCAGGGCTAGGAGCAGACTGAGACAGGAGAGAGTCCTTGGGGCAGAGGAACCCTCTCCTGGGGGGCTTTTGGGGTGACACAGCCCCACAGAAGAGCCCCTTCTCCACCCAGGTTTGGGTGGCTTTGGGGAGCTGGTGGTTCCACTTAGCTCCATGCTATCCAATCCTACAACTTTCCATCCTATGGGACAAACCCCTGGTTTGCCTACGACATCTTGGATGTGAAACAGGGCTGGAGTAGGGAAAAAAGAAAAATCCCTAAATTTGTGACCTCGGAGCATTTTCCCTCGGCCAATTCTTTGGGATCAGCACCTGCAGGATGAGCCATGGGAGCTGCTGCCGCCTCTGCTCCCAGAGAATGACATGACACAGGGACAACAGCAGCCAAATAGCACCATTCGCACTGGGCACGTTCAGGAGTTGGTTCTGCTCGGAGAAGGTCTGGGGGTTACACCTTGTGGCCATAAATCCTGTCGCCTGATGTGCATCCGCACTCCCAGGGAGTTGGGATGTATCTGAGAGCACCGGGCCAATGCCGATTCTCTAATTAAAATAATTAATAGGCACTGGGGCAGGTCACAGCCCTGATTTTCATCCCAATGGCTGAGCAGTTGCTGTGGTCAGGCCGGGAATAAACCATCCCTATTGGATGGGGCGTGCCCTGGGGATGGCCTCCCTGCACTCCTTGCAATTCCCATGAGGTGGGGTAGAGCTGGGGAGCAGCACCCAGCCCCATGTGTGCCAGGGCTATCCCTGCTTCCCACGGCAGATCCAGAGGAGCGCCTACTCCGTGGCCTTTGACGAGCGTTTCTCGGTGCCGCTGGATCCGGCGGCGCTGGAGGAGAACAGCCTGCGCTTCTCCGTCTTCGGCATCGACGAGGACGAGCGGAGCGTCAGCACCGGCGTGGCCGAGCTCAAGCTCTCCGACCTGGACCTGGCCACGCGCCCCTTCAACGCCTGGCTCTACCTGCAGGACACCAACAAGGTGAGGCAGGAGTGTCCCATCTCCCAGCTGGGATTTGGGACAGTGGGAGGTTGTCGTGTGGTGGATGTTGTGTCCTGGATGTTGTGTCCCACAGGCGGTGGACACGGTGGGGGAGATCCTGCTCTCCCTGAGTTACCTGCCCACGGCCGAGCGGCTCACGGTGGTGGTGGTCAAAGCCAAGAACCTCGTGTGGAGCAATGGGAAGGTGACCGCAGGTGAGGGGGGCTCCGTGGTGGGGTTTGTCCTGATTTATCTGATTTGCTACCCGGGAGGGCTCTCTGTGAGGACAGACCTGACACCAAAAAGGGTCCCCCCGCTTTCTCCACATCGCCTGGGACACGTGTGACTGATCCCTCTCCTGCCCTCTGAGCAGATCCCTTCGTCAAGGTGTACCTGCTGCAGGACGGGAGGAAGATCAGCAAGAAGAAGACAGCAGTGAAGAGGGGAGACACCAACCCCGTGTTCAACGAGGCCATGATCTTCTCCGTGCCGGCCATCGTGCTCCAGGTCTGGCCCAGCCCAGGGTGGCTGGAGAGGGAGGGAGGACACATCCCAGTGCTCTTCAAGCTCCCCAAGCCCTCCAGTGGGGAGCTCCTGGGGGTGTGGGGTTCTGGGGAGTGATCCTGGGAGCTGTGGGGGTGTGGGTCTGGTTTGGGGCGGATGTGTGGGGGCTGTTGTGGGGTATACGGATGTGTGGGGGCTGCTTGGAGAGGTGTGGATGTATGGGAATGGCTGCTGGAGGGAGGATGTGGATGTGTGGGTTGGATGCACAGGGATGGTCTGGTATGGGGACAGGGGCAAAGATGGATTTAGGGGATGTGGGGGAAAGAGGGAGCTGTGTGTGGGGGGTATATGAGGGTGAGTATTTAGGGATTTGGAGGGGTTTCAAGAACAGGGGGTGGGTTTGAACAGGGTGGGGGCACAGAGCGTGTACACGGGGCCTGGCAGGCTGGGTGGTGATGCACGGATGCGTTGCCCATGGAGAGGGCACAGGGATATGTGTCTGGGGGGGTCTGTGCGAGGCCATGACAGCCCCGTGTCCCCCAGGAGCTGTCCCTGCGCGTGACGGTGGCCGAGAGCGGCGAGGACGGGCGCGGTGACAACACGGGCCACGTGCTCATCGGGCCCGCGGCCAGCGGCATGGGCACCACGCACTGGAACCAGATGCTGGCCACGCTCCGCAAGCCCGTCTCCATGTGGCATCCGCTCCGCAGGAATTAGGCCGGATCTGGGGACAGCGGGCCTGAAGTGGGGACTGGGTGGCACCGCACGAGGACGAGGTGCCGTCACTGAGGAGCCCAAAACACCGGGAGCACGGACAGAGCGGCTCCGTGGGCACGTTCCGGGTCACCCCCGCACGCGCTGGGCCAGACCTGCCGGAAAGGAGCCCGAATGGATCAGAATCAGCAGGAACCTCCCCAAACCATGGCTCCCGAGCGTTCCACGTGCTCCCAACGGCCTTGAAATCCGTGGAATCCTCAAATGCAGACTCTGAGCGAGGGAGAGGGGAGGATTCCTTTGGAAGGTGGTTTTCGGGTGGGAATCGTCAGGGGGGTGATAAAAGCCAGCCTGGCGTGGGTGGTGATCCTGAGGGGATCTTTTGTAGTGACTTTGGTGTGCTGTGCCAGGGTTGGAATGTTTCCAGTGAGAATGGAAAAAGGGAGCAATAACAGCAGAAAATCAATTGTTACATACGGCTTCTCCTCCCATCTGTTTCCCCACACAGTAAATCCCTGCCCATCTCCACTGGCTGCACAGGCTGGGATTGGTTTCCAACCTCTTGGGACTGAGGTCAGATCCATGCTGGGAATCATCCCCTAAATGTCCAGTAGGATCAGGGGCAGCTTTTCCCAACCAAGCCACTTTTCCAACCCAAACTTACCCTCAGAGTGCTCAGGACAGCACTGCAAATTCCTGCTCCTTAACACAACTCTCACAACTGGCGATTGCTTTTTCCAGCCTCTAATCCTGGACTTGGGCTGTGACTTACCCTGCAACTCATTTTATCCAAGATTTGGGCATAGAGAGGAACATCTTGGCCCTATGACCCAAGGCATGGTTTGGGCTCGAGGCCTCCCCTTCCCCATCCCTATTCCCATTCCCAGGCACACCTGGAGCAGGGCTGAGCCCCCTCCTGAGCCCCTGGCCCAGGTGGGGAGGGAATGGCTGCAGTGTGTGTAGGCCGGGTCCCTCCAGCTCTGAGTGGTGCCGGAGGATTGCTGGGCTGGGACACATCCATTTCCTCAGTCATCCTCCCTGGAACACGGGGTCACCCAGGGTTTCTGGTGCCTTTTTTGATGCCCTGCTGCAGGGCATCCATCATTTGCTGCTGCAGGGACCGATGTGACAGTGACAGCTTTGGGTGTTTATTGCCCGTTTTACCAGCGTGCTCTGGCCACTGAGTGCATCCATCACCCTGTCCATATGGATAATCAGGACAATACAGCAGCTCTCCCTCCCCTGCCTCGGCCCTGCACCTCAGGCAGGCTCCCAGCTCCAGGTTTTCCCCCCAAAATGGAGCCCCTATTCCACCCAGCAGCTTTGCCCTGGCGGGGCTGAGCTGTGGCTTTGAGGTTAAAAAAGCAGGATTCGGGTCCCTCATTTCTCCTTGTCTTTCTTTTTGCCCTTCCTCTGGCTCGTCAGCTCACTGAGCTTCTTGTCCAGGCGTCGCTGGAGGTGGGCTCGCTTGGTGGGATCCAGGGATTTGTCCTTGGAGCCACTCCCAGGATACAGGACCCCTTCCCGGCTGATCCGCTGCCGTGCGTGGGCCTTGGCCTTCTCCCCACAGCCATGGACCTGGTGGGAGAGAACGGACACCGGGAAGTGGGGCAGGGATCTCCCATGTGGGAACCAGGGGCTTTCACACCTTGAGCCTGGAATTCTTTTTTTTGCCTGCTTTGCATTCCCCTAAAATCATCTCCCCTCATTTACAGACATTATTATCATTATGTTATATATTATTATATTACTGTGTTGGTATATTGCTTTATATACTCACATATTTTTATCATTTCAATTAATTTTTTTTTTATTATTTATCATTGTTTACTATTTATCCTATTTATCCTAATTTTATTTTTATTTAGTTTCATTTTATATTTAGATTCTATATTTTTATAGATTTATTATTATACTTATTGTTTAAAATTAATAATTAATATTTATTATTCTGTATTTTATTAAACCATCATTTATAGCTCCTCTCACACAGAACAAAATCTAAAGATCCAGGTCCTGGGCTCTGAACAGCAGGTAAATCATCCTTTGGGATGGTTCAAGTGGCTCCTTCCACCTCCTTTCCAGTGAACTGGGAAAGGTGTTTTGGGGAAAAGGAGACCTTTTTTAGCCATGAATCTGCTCCTTTGAAGAGCCAAGTCCGACACTGGAATTATTTCTCGCAGGTGAGATCCTAAAATCTGATCCCTTTTTTTGGCCCATCCCAAAGTCATTTATGCTTCCATGGAGTGGGGACCCAGCCTGTTCCCTCAGAGCTGTGACAGCCTTTCCTGGGGTTGGGTTGACATGGATTTGAATCCCTACAATTGCTGGAGCCTTGTTACAATTCAGCAGGGAGAGGCCATTCTGCAGGGAATAAATCTCCATCCCCCTGGCTGGTGAGTGACCATAAATACAACTATTCCTTGCCATGGAAACAGATAGCTCTTAACAGAAGGAAAAGCGTGCCAAGGATTTATAGGGCTGCTGAGCTCCGGGAGGCTCCACAGGGTGTGGAAGCTGCGGGATGAGGAACAAAGACACAGGGAATTCTGAACTGCTGGCCAGGCAGCACTGCACCATGCCTGACCTGTCTCCAGGATTCAGAGAGAATCTGCAAAGGGCTGGGATTGTCCTCAGAATGCAGAGGGAATGTGCAAAGAGCTGTGAATTCAGTGCAGGTTCACTTGAGCCTGAAACTTGTGCTTCTCCATTTCTGCTCCCTGCCTCACTTTATCCACACGGCCTCAGAGTATAAGTGCCAGAAAATGGTAAAGAAGGGCACAAAATGAGAGGAAGACTGAAAAGCCCTCAGGAAGAGGTGAGCAGAGCCCCAGGTGTCAGCACCTGCCAGCCCTGTGTACCTGAGCTCAGCACAGGCGCTGACAGGGAGGGCTCTGCTCAAGCTCCCTGCAAGGAAACCCTGCCCAGGGAGCTCCACAGGGAAAATTCCCAGGCTAAGCCCATCCTGCCCCTCCTTACCTCGGGGATGTGGTGGCTGAGGCAGAACTGCCGCTGGCAGTGGTGGCAGAGCTGGCCCAGGGTGGTGACAGAGGCCTTGCAACGGGGGAAGCCACAGGTCCTGTCAGCTTCGATGGCAGCAGCAATCAGAGCGTCAAAATCCTCTCCGGCTGTGCTCCCGATCACCGGTTTTCCTGGGAAAGGTGAGCACACACCTGGATTGGGGCCTGGGAACAAACCCACCCCCCTGCAGCCACAGAGCAGCCTCTCCCTTTACATCCTTCAGCATGGGCCGGGTATTCCCCTCTGCTCCTCTCCCTACCCTTGGGAGCCTCCCATGTGATTCCCGAGACTCACTACTACGAAAGGGACCCGAAAGGAAAAGTTCAAAATTCCTTTGACTTAAGGAATGCGCCTCCAAGTATCCAAACCCCTCTACCTGGATACTGCAGCCAGTTCCCACCTCCCTGCAGCTTTCCAAGAGCCACACGCTCCATGCCCAAATCCCAAAGACTGGAGCAAACCCATCGGGATCCATTCAAGGAAGAGCATTAATTGTGCTGGTTAGAAAAAGCTTGACCCACCTTTGGCTTCGCTCTTGTCCTTTTTCCTGCTGCCACGGCTGGGCTCCTGCACCTTCCTCGCCGCCTCCTCCCGCCTGGCTTTCTCCCTCTGGACTCTCTCCAGGTGCAGGGATTTCAGGTCCACTTTCCCTGAGCCCTTGTTGCCTTCCTCTGGCTCTGCAGGGTCGGGGGTGTTCCCGCTGGGATGCCGGGGCTCAGGAAGGGGTTCGGAGGGCAGCGGGGGCTGCTTGGGGAGTCTCTTGCGGACACTGATGTACCTGTCCCGGCCCTCCCCGGAGCTCAGGTGCTGCAGCCCATACTCCTCGGCCAGCACGTGAACCAGCATCCGCTCGTGGGAATTCAGGGATGCCGGGAAATCCAGCTGCACCTCGCTGCTCACCAGGAAGGCCACCAGCATGGCCCTGAACTTGTCCCCACCCTCCTTTGACCCTGAGTCATCTCTCCCAGCCCTGGCAGCGCTCGGGGAGCTCCGTGTTCCTGGTTTCTGGCTCCCTGCTCCGGCTGCTGCCGCCTTGAGCTTCCCAGCTGGAGCTGGCCTTGCTTTGGGGCCCGGTGTTTTGGGGCCCTGCTGGCGCTGGGCACAGCCCTCCCCGGGGTAGTTTTGGGGCACGAGGTCATCCAGGTACTCGAAGGCGGAGCGCACAAGGCCGTGCTGGGACAGGTGGTCCAGGAGGCGCCGCAGGAAGGGGCGGCTGCCCACGGTGTGGCTGTCACACACCACGGCCACCTGGCGCCGTGCCCGCGTCACCGCCACATTGATCCGCCGCTCCTCGGCCAGGAAGCCCACCTCACCTGGGAAGACAGGAGGGAAGGGATGCCAGAGGGGACAGGGCTGCCTGCAAGTAGGGATTTGGTCCAAGTGATCCAAGGATTTCTTGGTTGGAGGGTGAGAGCTGGTGTTTATGGGGCTCTGGTCCCTGCTCACACCTGTTCCTCTTCCTACCTGTGGAAGGCTCCACACTGAGCTCCTGGGGTTGGGAAGAGGATGGAAGGCACACGGAAAGGGGAAATATCTCCCTGCCTGGCCCACGACACGAGCTCAGCTTGGAGCTGGGAGCAAACATAAGATAGAGCAGCATGGAAAAGGCTCACCTTGCGACAGAGCGGGGACTGCAGGTAAAGAACTCCCCCCTGCTCCCAAATTCTCCGAGGGTCTGTAGGAGCAGCCATTTGGGAATCTGGGGGGGTTTTGCTCTGCTCACAGACAGCAGCCGGAGCCTGCCTGAGCCGGGATGACTCAGGCAGGATCAGCCAGCAAGAGCGGAGTGTGGGCGGCTGCCGAGCTCCCAGCTCCAGGGAACAGTGAGGAGGCCAGTCGGGAAGAGATTAATGCCTCTGCCGGAGCAGTGCCCAGCCTGGCTCTGCCTCAGCAGCCTCACTGTGCTGCCTTGGAGGGACAGGGTGAGGGGGAGCCCCTCTCCCAGCTCTGCAGCTCGGAGAACAATTCCCAGTTTATCTGATGAGGTTTAACCCAGCTGCAGGGCAAATCCAACTCCTTTGAATCCTGGAATGGTTTGGGCTGGGAAGGACTTTAAGGCTCATCCAGTTCCACCCCCTGCCAGGAATACCTTCCGTTATCCCAGGTTGCTCCAAACCCCATCCAACCTGGCCTTGGACACTTCCAGGGATGTGGCAGCTACAGCTTCTCTGGGCAACCTGTGCCAGGGCCTCACCACCCTCACAGTGAAAAATTTCCTCTTAAAAGAAGATTTCCTGCTGGATCAGGAATGGCTGCAGAGGGACAGATCAAGGAGAAGCCTCTCTGTGCCCCCAGGAAAACAATTCCTGCCCCACACGTGAGCTTTGGCCTCTCCCTGTGCAGGAGAAGGGGCTGTGGGACACTCACCATCCCAGGGCCACCAGCTCCCACAGCACAGGGGTGAGTCACTCCCGGATCAGGACTATTCTTAGTGCTGTCCCCACCTCCATTCTCCCCACAAGGCTGCTTTTCCTTCTCTAGGCTTAGAAAAAGAGGCACCTCCTCCTTACACGCATATTTTTCCCCTTTTTTTCTCATTCCAGCCCTCAGCACTCAGCATTTCACCTCCAGCAGCACAGGTAGGGCCACAGGGCTGTGGGTTTCGAAAGGGAATTGATCCCAGCATGGAAAAGAGGTGATCACAGAGCGATCCTGCTCAGCCAGCTCCACAAAACCTTTCAGCTCCCCGCACAGGAGCCTTGTGCCCCGAGGGCAGCAGCTTTTTTCCAGCTATTAACTTTCACTGCAGCTGCTGATAGCAAAGAACTTGATTTTCTGCTCTAGATTTTGCTCCCAAAAGCAGCATTTTCTGTGCATGGCTTGGGATGCCAACTCCTGCTCGCTTTCTGCAGGGAACTGACGCAAAATGGGCTCAAAACCCAATAAATTACCCCCCAACTCCCCTAAATGTGGGGCTAAGGGGATGTGATATTCTTAGTGC